TCCCGGGGACAAACTTTCAAATTTTCGATTTGCACCCCCCTCCCCGAACTTTCGATTTGCACCCCCCCTCAAGTTTTCGATTTGCACCCCCCCCTCGAACTTTCGATTTGCACCCCCCCCTCAAGTTTTTCTCTATATATTTTGCTATTTTTTGCCTTGGTGTCACCCCCCTAAATGGTGTCACCCGGTGCGGTCCGCACCCCCGCCCCCCCCCCCTCGCTACGCCCCTGTATATATATATATATATATATATATATATATATATATATATATATATATATATATATATATATATATATATATATATATATATATATATATATATATATATAGTTGCTTAGAGTTATAGTGCTGACCCTCTAGCTCCGCCCATTGCACTGTACTATCTCACATGCTTTATACAGCTTTAACGAAGCTTTGCCGTTTATATTATGCATTGATCATTGAAAGACTTTCAGTAGAAAATGTGTTCTAGAAACATGTATTTTTGTTGTTATAAAGTGCAAGGTATCTTGTATCAATTAACTAGCCTTTTATTTAAGCTAGGCTTAACATTGATCTTGCATTTACCATAACATAAACTAGCCTTACTATGCGCCTTGCATTAACTATAACTTAAATTAACATTTATCCAGCTTTAAGTATATTTATTAACTAACCCTAGCCCTAAGACTACCTTAGTACTCTAAATCGGAAATGTAACACAACACCCTTACCTTTAATTTAAATCACATCGACTGTTGAAAGAAACACTCTTGTATATTTTTCTGTGTACTGTGAATGAATTTCGTATTGTTTAAAGTGAAGTATTAATTAGATAAATAATTTGATAATTAATTAGATAATTGTTTCTCTAGTCATCAATCATCACATAAGTTTATGTTTCGATGAAGTGGAACCCAATGGACACATTTGAAGTGGGGCTTTTATATTAAAAAAAATAGTTTGCTTTTAAAACATGTGATTATAAAATAATAATATGTATAATTTTTCTACAAAGTGGACATTTTTGGGCATTTTTGCTTCTTGGCAAGAAAGTATTATTTTTAAAAAGTCGAAACAATTGTATTCCGCTGCGTGACAAAGAAAACAAACTGGCGTAGCGACCCTTCCCGGCGCCCGGGGACAAACTTTCGATTTGCACCCCCCCCCCTCAAGATTTCGATTTGCACCCTCCCCTCAAACTTTCGATTTGTACCCCACCCTCAAGATTTCGATTTGTACCCCCCCCCTCAAATTTTGGATTTGCACCCCCTCAACCTTTCAATTTATTTTTCCAACCCATTTTGGCGCCCCCTAAGGTCGGCGCCCGGGAATATGTCCCCCCCCCCCGCCCCCCCCCCCCCTCGCTACGCCTGTATTAACTAAATAGTGCTTCTGTTCAATTGGTCAAATTTTCTTTCCGCTTTGTTTTCTTTAATTGTAAAACTTCTCCGAAGATGCAGTGTAGATAACTACGTCTCTGTCCGTGTCAACAAAAATGACACAGTCTATGTCAGCCTACTGGGCCAATGACATGAGACCAAAAAAAAAACTAGTTCTCTTATCATGAATTTGTATGTAATAAATCATTTTCTTACTTGTAATAAACGAGCATTGGCTTCTCAGGGCTGAGACCATACACGGATAGGTGAAGTAGTTTATGTGTATTTTTCTTTTTACTTTCTCTTATACAGATTATAAAGGAAATATTGTAATCGTGCACAAAAATCACATGAAATTTGACAGTTTTCACCGTTTTACACTTCAGTACTTCATCACACACGAAGAATGGGGGACTTATTTTATAAACGGACACACAGCCTGTAAGAGGCTCTAACTTTCTCTGACTTGAGCTACGTTCTCACTAGGTAACCATGGGTACCACAGATGTATTTGTGATATTACGAAGAATCGTTAAAGACCTATCAGAGACTCACCTGAAACAACCCACCTGGAACCCAACATCATAGACCCACCAGTTATGAGACCCATCAGACCCATGTGGGTCACACCAGGGACAGCATGAAGCCTCCAGACCAGCGTGTCTCATCAAGAGCCTGACATGTTTTTTTGTTTTTCAAAACACACATCGATGACTTGTTTAATTTACACAACAGCAGACTTCGTTCAACCACACAGCACTAAATAATGCCTGACATGCTAAATCGTTAAATCGATGCCTTAAGTCTTATGCGGTAAATAACTTTGTTTACAAATAATTTATTATTACAACACACCATCTTTTCCTATGCCGAGGTAAAAAAACACATGAACTCTACTTCATCTGCTCAATGGATCTCTAGGTCTAAAGAAGAACTTCACTTTTTTCTTTAATAATTATAACAATAAAATAACTTAGTATTCAAACACGAAAGTATAATATTATATTTCGTTTCATTTTATTTCTGTGGTTAAATTTAATTATTTTAGTATTGTATATTGTGAACTTATTACACGAGAATCTAGTCTTCTATGTTAACGTATTCGATACCGCTGTAACCCAAACTGTTTATGCATTCACATCGATCTCTCCAATGTACAACTAGCCAGTGATAAATAAACGCTAACAACCAAACACCGCAGAAGTGATTGTACTTCATGAAACTCGATTGTTGAAGTACCAGATTTTAAAACTGCCCCCCCCCCCAGCACCACCGTTACCCACGCCACCTCAATCACATAACATCAGCCTCTACAAGATTGTGCATGTTACCGTGCATGTTGCCGTGCATGTTGCCGTGTATGTTGCCGTGCATGTTGCCGTGCATGTTACCGTGTATCTTACCGTGCATGTTGCCGTGTATCTTACCGTGCATGTTGCCGTGCATGTTACCGTGTATCTTACCGTGCATGTTGCCGTGTATCTTACCGTGCATGTTGCCGTGTATCTTACCGTGCATGTTGCCGTGTATCTTACCGTGCATGTTGCCGTGTATCTTATCGTGCATGTTGCCGTGTATCTTACCGTGCATGTTGCCGTGTATCTTACCGTGCATGTTGCCGTGTATCTTACCGTGCATGTTACCGTGTATCTTACCGTGCATGTTGCCGTGTATCTTACCGTGCATGTTGCCGTGTATCTTACCGTGCATGTTGCCGTGTATCTTACCGTGCATGTTGCCGTGTATCTTACCGTGCATGTTGCCGTGTATCTTACCGTGCATGTTGCCGTGTATCTTACCGTGCATGTTGCCGTGTATCTTACCGTGCATGTTGCCGTGTATCTTACCGTGCATGTTGCCGTGTATCTTACCGTGCATGTTGCCGTGTATCTTACCGTGCATGTTGCCGTGTATCTTACCGTGCATGTTGCCGTGTATCTTACCGTGCATGTTGCCGTGTATCTTACCGTGCATGTTGCCGTGTATCTTACCGTGCATGTTGCCGTGTATCTTACCGTGCATGTTGCCGTGTATCTTACCGTGCATGTTGCCGTGTATCTTACCGTGCATGTTGCCGTGTATCTTACCGTGCATGTTGCCGTGTATCTTACCGTGCATGTTGCCGTGTATCTTACCGTGCATGTTGCCGTGTATCTTACCGTGCATGTTGCCGTGTATCTTATCGTGCATGTTGCCGTGTATCTTACCGTGCATGTTGCCGTGTATCTTATCGTGCATGTTGCCGTGTATCTTACCGTGCATGTTGCCGTGTATCTTACCGTGCATGTTGCCGTGTATCTTATCGTGCATGTTGCCGTGTATCTTACCGTGCATGTTGCCGTGTATCTTACCGTGCATGTTGCCGTGTATCTTACCGTGCATGTTGCCGTGTATCTTACCGTGCATGTTGCCGTGTATCTTACCGTGCATGTTGCCGTGTATCTTACCGTGCATGTTGCCGTGTATCTTACCGTGCATGTTGCCGTGTATCTTACCGTGCATGTTGCCGTGTATCTTACCGTGCATGTTGCCGTGTATCTTACCGTGCATGTTGCCGTGTATCTTACCGTGCATGTTGCCGTGTATCTTACCGTGCATGTTGCCGTGTATCTTACCGTGCATGTTGCCGTGTATCTTATCGTGCATGTTGCCGTGTATCTTACCGTGCATGTTGCCGTGTATCTTACCGTGCATGTTGCCGTGTATCTTACCGTGCATGTTGCCGTGTATCTTACCGTGCATGTTGCCGTGTATCTTACCGTGCATGTTGCCGTGTATCTTACCGTGCATGTTGCCGTGTATCTTACCGTGCATGTTGCCGTGTATCTTACCGTGCATGTTGCCGTGTATCTTACCGTGCATGTTACCGTGTATCTTACCGTGCATGTTGCCGTGTATCTTACCGTGCATGTTGCCGTGTATCTTACCGTGCATGTTGCCGTGTATCTTACCGTGCATGTTGCCGTGTATCTTATCGTGCATGTTGCCGTGTATCTTACCGTGCATGTTGCCGTGTATCTTACCGTGCATGTTGCCCTGCATGGTCTTCTTCTTTTGTGATGTTGAACGGAATTTCATTCGATAGAATTGTATTACGTGTCAGTCTATTATGCGCCAGATAGGCCGTTGATTCCGATTTAAACCTGCTTTTCTTTATGGATTTGCTTCCATAGCTTTTCCAAGAACAAACTACAAAGCAGCAGTTGAAGAGGCCGATTTAAAAACTGCCCCCCCCCCCACACACACCTCCTCTCACCCCCACACCGTCCCCCACCCACACAACTTACATATCACTTGTTTGTTAAAGAAGTGCCACTCACACCACCACTAAACGTCATCCATTCCCACCGCAACACATCCCTCTTACACATTGTTACATGAACATTTAAATTACTCAATAGCCAGGTTTAAAACCAACCCCTCCCACACACACCCCTTCCCCCACCACCCCCTATCAAATAACAACCGCCACTACATAAACATACATGTTATACAATATTTGAAGAGTCAGATTTAAACCTTCCCCTCACCTCCCAGCAGCACCATCACATACACGTATAAACCTCATCTACACGTAGCAAGAGAACACGAGAATCAGTTCAAAATATTGGATTATATTCAACATAAAATGGCAATTATTGTTCTTTTGTTAATCTTTTTTTTTTGTTTGTTTCTTTCAAATCTTTCCTTTTATACATTTAAAAAACTAATTGTTAACAGCTCGTAACCAATCAAAATCAATACACTCAATCAATTAACAAGAAAAATAAACAATAGGTATATCGTTATTCAATACAAAGTGGACGTTAAGGAAATATCAACATTATTTTGATCAGTAAAAAAAAATCAACAAATTCAAATGTTCGAAACAGCTTCATTATATCAGGCATTCATCGCCAACAATTGTATTTGTCATTTGTCATTTTGTCATTTAATCCTCTGTCATGCCAGTTACGTCTAGTGCATCATTTAAATGCATTAAGACATTGAAAAATAATGCATCTAAGTCGACGTGTTCTGTAAGATATATAATTTACACCGTCGATGTCAAATGTACTAACTTTAGGGAAAATGTAACTTTATTGAAGTGACAGGCAATCGCTTAATTGGAGTGTTATATAGTGTTATAAAGACGATTGTCTGACAATATTTTTGTTTATATAGGCAGGAGAGTAGCATGGGTGATGTAGTAGTATTGCTGCATGGATGGTGTAGTATTATTGCTTTTCGGAACCGCTAAACAAAATAAGTTTAGCGTGGATGGACGATTTAACCTCTGCAAACTAAAAATAAAAGAATTTTGTAAAGATAAAATGACTTCACAAGGTTAAAGGTTGGAGGTAATTTTTCTGAAGCTGTACACATGGGTATTGTTGGCTCGATACCACAGTGTCGAAGTAATTTGATCAGTAACATCTTAATCAATAACAAATGTATTTTTCTATTTTTATACCCGAAAATCACTCTTTAAAATTTATAGAGTTTGGTTGTTATTTTTTATGTGTTAAAAGCAGTTTTTTTTTAAATTTAGACTCATGTCTTACGTAAAAAGTCAAGACACATTTTATTCGTCATAAAAATAGACGGTCTTACAGTAAATTTAATACATGAGTATACTATTTACTAACACATAATGAAAAAGTACACACATACATTTGTATGCACAATGTTGATGACAAAAGGTATTGGCAGTCAAGTTGGGCATCCGATGTACACATGAATCGATGACGTAGTGCTCGCTGGTGGCTTAGTGCTGGCAAAGGTAAAGCTATACACGTCATCAGCATACTGGATTTAATTCGTTCAAACACGTTTTTTATTTGTCCAAACACGTTTCTATTTGTCTAAGAATGCTTTTTTTTGTCCCAAGTATGCTTTCCGTTTGTCCAAGCATCATTTCTATTTGTATCAATAAGCTTTGTCCAAAACTGTTTTCTACGTCAAAACATGTTTTCTGTTTTTCCAAACTAGTTTTCCATTCACCAAACCACGTTATGAAAACATCCAAACATCGTTTTTAAACATCTTGTTTGATGTAGTAAAACGTCAAAACATTGTTTGCATACGTCGTGATTCAAATATTTTAAATGATTCTTTTAAATTGATCATTAGTATGTATCTTGTTGGAGATATTATACGTATGTGTGATGTAAAACATAATGTATGATTATGTCTTATAACTAGTTAGCATTGTTCTCGCAAATACACCGAGTAAAAGTTTTAAAAAGAAATCATCGTTCATATTTTATACTTTAGTACACATCCACCCTCTTCAGATTGTGTACAAGCAACTTGTACACATATATACACATTATTGTACACGTATCTTCTATAAACGAGTAGGTTTTTTGTCCTTTTTGTACACTATTTTGTACACAATTCCTGTACAATGTTTTTTACAGTTTCGATCAGCTAAGTTAGACACTCATTCTGCCTTTCGCTCACGCATGCACGCACACATCCACACCGGCGTCTCATCACCACCACCTCCCCTGCGGCTGCATAAGGGGGTGGCTGTACCCGGGCAACACATTCATGTTGTTGACGCTCGGCACGTTCAGGTGCCCGATGGAGTTGTTGTACGAGCAGCTCATGTTCATGTTCATGTTCATCGACATGGAGTTGGCTAAAGTCGAGGCCACGCTTGAGCCCATGTGACCGTACCCTGAGCTCATGTGGTTCAGCCCGCCGTGGTTCATCCCCATGCCCATGTTGGACATACCCGACTGCATGGAGAGGTGGTGCTGGTGGTCGGGGGTCTTCAGGGACCCGCCCATGGAGGGACGCTGACAAGGGATGCCGTCTTTCACCAACACCGGCACGGCGACACGGCGAGGCGAAGGCAACGGGTTCAAATCCGCCAGACCTTTTTCTTGTCTGGACCTTTTAAGTTTATACCGGTGGTTCTGGAACCATATTTTCACCTGGACAGGTGTGAGCCGGATGATGCTGGCCAGGTGTTCCCGTTCCGGCGCCGAGAGATACCTCTGCTGCCGGAACCGCCGTTCCAGCTCGTATGTCTGGGCTTTGGAGAAGAGCACCCGCCGCTTCCGTTTCTTGGGCGGGTCGCCGTTCGCCGACTCGCCCTGGGAGTCGGCGGCGTCCTTGACCTTAGACTTGTCGTCCCCGCTCTTATCGTCGTCGTCGTCGTCATCGTCGTCGTCGTCGTCGTCGTAGCAGTCCTTGATGGGCGTGGCGGCGTTGCTGCTGCGGTTGTCGTGCTGGGAGGCGTCGCTGTGGAGCTCGTGGCTGACGGGACTGTTGCTGTTGGGGTTACTGGCCGGATGGGGGTGGGACGGCGCCATGCTGTTTAGATCTGAAAGTAAAGATACACAACGTTAGGGTTTATTTGAAGTAAGCTGTATGCTCAATTCTTTGTTACTTAAATGTTATAATCATATATATATATATATATATATATATATATATATATATATATATATATATATATATATATATATATATATATAAATTTTATTAAATTTTTAAAAATATTTTATTATTTATTTATTTATTTATTTATTTAAAGTGACGTATTTATAAAACGATTAGTAGCCTACCCTTTACTTCTAGGCTGAAATTACATATTAGAATTCCCATAGAAAGACTTAAAGTAGTTTTAAATTAATACAGAACACACTCGAAACACCAATCTTTGGTTATTATTATATGATGAGTGCTTATTTCGTCCACTACAACTAGAGCTGATAGTCTTTAAACTATCATATATATATATGCCTTTAAACAATCTGTGATATCAAGCGTGGGAGTGTTGGTCGATAAGGGCTTTAAATGTAACATTAGCGCAGATTTTCTCAGTTATTGATTTCGGCTGTAGAAATGTTGGGGGATTTAATGTTTTTTAGTTTTTTAGACGTTTTTTTTTCGTTGTTTACACTGTAACGTGAGCTTCTGGCGTTTGTGTTTTTGTAACACCAGTTGTCCTATAGCCCAGGTTACTTAACATAAAGGTAAACCATAGTTGTCCTATAGCCCAGGTTACTTAACATAAAGGTAAACAAAACACCAAATGTACTATAGCTCAGTGTACTTAACATAACGGTAAACAAAACACCAAATGTACTATAGCTCAGTTTACTTAACATAAAGGTAAACAAAACACCAGTTGTCCTATAGCTCAGTTTACTTAACATAAAGGTAAACAAAACACCAGTTGTCCTATAGCTCAGTTTACTTAACATAAAGGTAAACAAAACACCAGTTGTCCTATAGCTCAGTTTACTTAACATAAAGGTAAACAAAACACCAGTTGTCCTATAGCTCAGTTTACTTAACATAAAGGTAAACAAAACACCAGTTGTCCTATAGCTCAGTTTACTTAACATAAAGGTAAACAAAACACCAGTTGTCCTATAGCTCAGGTTACTCAACATAAAGGTAAACAAAACACCAGTTGTCCTATAGCTCAGGTTACTCAACATAAAGGTAAACAAAGCAAAGTGCTACCTAAAACTACAACAACAAATAGCCAACCCCCGTTGTAGTTAACCAAACAAATAGTCAATCAACGAGTTAATGAACCCCAAATTAAACTTACCAGCTAAGATACCCAAAGATTCAGTGAACCCCAAATTAAACTGACCAGGTAAGTTACCCAAAGATTTAGTGAACCCCAAATTAAACTGACCAGCTAAGTTACCCAAAGATTTAGTGAACCCCAAATTAAACTGACCAGCTAAGTTACCCAAAGATTTAGTGAACCCCAAATTAAACTGACCAGCTAAGTTACCCAAAGATTTAGTGAACCCCAAATTAAACTGACCAGGTAAGTTACCCAAAGATTTAGTGAACCCCAAATTAAACTGACCAGGTAAGTTACCCAAAGATTTAGTGAACCCCAAATTAAACTGACCAGGTAAGTTACCTAAAGATTTAGTGAACCCCAAATTAAACTGACCAGGTAAGTTACCCAAAGATTTAGTGAACCCCAAATTAAACTGACCAGGTAAGTTACCTAAAGATTTAGTGAACCTCAAATTAAACTGACCACGTAAGTTACCCAAAGATTTAGTGAACCCCAAATTAAACTGACCAGCTAAGTTACCCAAAGATTTAGTGAACCCAAAATTAAACTGACCAGTTAAGTTACCCAAAGATTTAGTGAACCCCAAATTAAACTGACCAGGCCAGTTACCCAAAGATTTAGTGAACCCCAAATTACTTGACCACGTAAGTTACCCAAAGATTTAGTGAACCCTAATGAATCTGACCAGGCCAGTTAACCAAAGATTTAGTGAACCCCAAATTAATTTACCAGGTAAGTCAATCAACGATTTAGAGAACCCCAAATTACTTGACCACGTAAGTTACCCAACGATTTAGTGAACCCCAAATTAAACTGACTAGAACCTTTAACCAAACACAAACGATCAATGTAGTGCATGCTCCACTTAGCCGTGTAAAATAGCTTTCGGTGCAGTCACCGATAGGATTTTTAGCGGAAATAATTTATAGAATGGCTTTTTAGAAATGCAGGCCCTAGTTCGCACACCACGTATATCTGTGTACATTAGCTTTTATTAGGGAGATCAAAGCTTACGGGTAAATGACGTCTCACGTTTTGGGGCGTTCAGACCGCACCGCTCCATTTCGTCACATATCGTTACAAATGGACGTGCCCATTGTAAAATGACGTCATACCTCAGCCTATAACCCCACTCAAAATTGAAGTTTTTTTTTTATTTAAATGATTACTTGGTATAGTATTAATATAATTCGGTCAACATTGAGAATATTCATCATTTAAAATGCATTTAAAAAAAAAGTATTTAAGAAATAAAAACCGCTAAATTTCATTTCCAGTCATTACTTTTTGAATCTGAAAAAGTATGTCGTCACACTTTCTGAACTCCCTCCCTTCGTCACACTCGACTTAGTCCTCTTTACTCCTTATGGGGCATAGGGCCTCAACCATAATCTTCCATTTAGTCCGGTACCCTCGTCATAAATCATCACATAATTGCGACCCCCCCCCCCTCCTCCCCTCTACGAGTGTGACGTCGTTTATTGATGACCCTTAACTTAAACATTTAACACAATAATAAGAGACAGGGACACGGTATCGACAACAGCAAACAGCATCACTACAGCCCACTATTCAAACAGCAATATGCCGCGATTACCCAAATGACAAGACTCCTATTTTTTTCCGATGAAAAAAAAAAACTGCGTTAAGTTGCGTCCCTTTGGCCAGCCATTGTTACTTCCCTTTATCAGTGTATCGACACACGGCTTAAAAGAGGGGGGTGGGGAGGGGAGGGAGAGCGGAGCCAACGACTGTATTCATCTGACCGCAGTGTCGTCGATCATGTTCGATCGATCTCTTTCAATCTGAACACGTGTTTGCCGTCCAGCGCGGCGCGTGACTTGGCCGGCGTTAAAGCGGCGCTGAGTAAAAATTGCGCTCAGAGTTGGTCGCGTGAGATGGCGCGTGCGTTGTGTAAGGTCAGTGAAAGAAAGAGATCTGGACGCGTTTAGTGTGAGCACATGGGGCCCTCTCATCGACAGGGCTTTTCATACACATAAACTTAGTCATATAGTAGACTTACTTTACATTAACATATATATATCTATATATATATATATATATATATATATATATATATATATATATATATATATATATATATATATATATATATATATAGCCTTTGTGTACGTGTGTGGTTATTAAGTTATTAATGGCTATGAAGAAAAGATTATAATTCTGGTATAATTCTAGTATTGAGAAAAATAATTGAGGTTTGATTTTAAAAAGATTTAGAAAAGAGAATGACTGATTTTTTTGAAAAGCCAAATCACCAACGACGGTTCATGAATATTAATGAGTCCGACGAGTTGAACGTTTAAAAAGAAAAACAGAAATGCTAATGACCAGGTCACAGGTCGAGGTTAAATGAACAGTGTCGGAATTTCTTTCTTTCAATATACATTCAACGGCCTGGTCTTTCAACTATCTAGATCTAGATGCTACTGAAGACAGTGGCGTCGCCAGGTATTGGTCATGTGAGGGGTTCAAACATTTTTCCATATGTATACAATATATATATATATATATATATATATATATATATATATATATATATATATATATATATATATATATATATATATATATATATATATATATATATATACATATATATATATATATAGGGGTCCATGGGAAGGGTTATAACCTCCTACCACCCCCACCCTTGCCTACGCCACTGACTGTAGATGTACTGGGAACCGGGCGGTGGTGGTCAGAGACTGGGACTTTATCACGTGCCTATGTCCACCTATGGTATTGATATAATACTTCATGTCTACATTACTATTTCATTACTAATGCTACTTCCAATCGCTATTCATGTAGACCAAAGACAGCCAAATGTCACCGTCTGAAGGAAGTCTTGTCGTCTGAGAGAAGATGATCCGTTTAGGCCTATTAGTTAACCAGTCTCAACATTGAGACATTTAGATGTCCACAATACTGAGGGCAAGACAGGTCTATTTGAGCGCTACCATCAACCTAGACACGTCTAGATGTCAACAATCATCAGGATAGACACGGCCAGTTAGTGTGAGTGACGTTAACAATCTGGATCCGAAACACATATCTCCCCCCCCCCCCCCCCACGCGACAAATCTCACACCCCCTCCATATAGAGTATAAAACGAATTAAAAAGACAAAATAAAAAAAAACAACTTAAAATTGCCAAATGTTTAATGTCTGTGTATGATGATTTAATACTTGGTGTTCAACAAAATCTGCCAAACGTTTAGTGCTGGCTTTTTATTCTGCTCTTGGTTTTTATCTATAATAATAGTTTCGCTGTCTGTGTATCTGACAAGAACGCTCTGTCTGACAAGAACGCTCTAGAGAAAACACAAGCAATTTAAAAACATGCACAGTAATTCGAAAAACGAAATATGACGTCGACACATTTAGCGCACAGAGTAGAAAATAATCTCAAACCCAGAGAGTGCTCAAAGTTATATGACGTCATTGATTTTCGCGTTAACATTGAATAAAAAGGAAATGTTGTCTAATCTTAATGGTTTGCGTGAAGAGTTTCTTGCATACAATTCTTCGGGTAGGGGCGAAGCCCCACCCCCCGCGTAAGAACGTCTGAGCCCCCCCACCCCCCCCCCCCCCTCGGGTAGGGGGCGGACACTGGAAAAAGTATATAATTATATTTCGTTGAATGGGACGGTAGACATGTTTTTTTTTTTTGGGGGGGGGGGTGGGGGGGGGGGGGGTGGGGGGGTGGTGTGTGTGGGGGGTGGGGGGTGGTGTGTGTGGGGGGGTG